GTAACCAGTACCATTTGTATGCCAAACCTTTCCCAGAAACAAAGGACCTGCTGAGAGAGCTGGGCTTGTTCAACCTGGAGAAGAGGCGGCTTCAAGGAGACCTTAGAGCAGTCTTCCAATACTTCAAGGGGCCAAAAAGAAACCTGGGGAGGGGCTTTTGACAAGAGCCTATAGGGAAAGGACAAGGGGGAATGGCTTTAACCTGACAGAGGGGAGATTGAGATGAGCTCTTAGGAAGCAGTCTTCCCTATGAGGGTGATGAGGCCTTGGCACAGGTTGCTCAGAGAAGCTGTGGCTGCCCCATCCCTTGCAGTGCTCAAGGCCAGGTTGGACGGAGCTTGGAGCAACCAGATCTAGTGGAAGGTGTCACTACCTATGGCAGGGTTTTGGAACTGAGTGAGCTTTAAGGTCCCTTCCAATCCAAACCACTCCGTTTTCTATTATTCCAAGAAACCAAAATTCAGTGCTGGCTGATGTGCAGTGTTATTGTGATGCAGACTGAAGACCAATTAGACTTGTGTACATGTGAAGCCAGTCAAAGGAACACAGTTCATTTTTCTGCTCCAAGGAATTAAACTCATCTTTGTTTATCTTCCTCACATTTCCAGTAGCTGACACTTCAAGTCTAGGTTGCAGGACAGGTATGTAGTACCAAAACCACTAGTCCTCGTTTCCTTTTTATCCATGTATTAAGAGGAAAGAAAAGTGTGCAGTGAGACTATCCAGTGATATTCTGTGACTATATGAAGTATATACATAATGATATTTAATAGTTTATAGAGGCTGTAAAATATGGTAATTCAACCATGACAACAGCAGATACAGTTATGTGATTAACTATAATAATCTTGGTAACTATAATAATCTTGTAGCATACAATCATGGTAAATATTAGTAGCATAATGTTTTGGTTATTGTATTATGGATAACTCAAACTGCTAAGGTCAGCAAGAGCACTCTGTTGGTCTTTTGAATCCCCATTCAGAGTATGAGTCCCTGTAGGGTTATACTGCCTGGCATGTCAATGGGAAAGGTGTTCATCTTGCAGCTGCCTACTCTCAGACTCCAGAATCCTCTTTACTGCTAAGGTTCTGCTGTCCCATGATGCAGTCTCTCTATCCCCCACAAAAACTCCTGTATTTCCTTAGCTTCTCGAGATAAATCTCTTATTGTTCCTAGAGGGTCAGTTCAAAATCTGATCCAAACAAACGACTCAATCTTGATTCTAGCTGTCTTCCTGGAAAGCCAGATTTTGTCTAGATAGATATGTTCATTTTTAATAAACAATAATTAGTTTGTCATAAAAAATGGTAACTACCTTTGGGTGGATTGACATTTTAGCTGCAGGTCCACCTTGGCTGAGCATTTCCCCTATTCCTTAACATACTTACTGCCATTAGAGTCACATCAGATTTCCAACATGTTTCTAGTTCATGCACTTAATTTGACTTGTGGGAAGTAGAAGGAATAGGCAAGGAAAGAAATGGCAAAGAAGTTGATTGTTAGTGTAGTCTTTTCCTGGCAGCCACTGAGTGAGTGTGGGATAAACTAAGCACCATGGTATTTTTCCCTGTTCTTTCCACCTGATGACTGAGGATGCCAGTATTTCACCAACATACGACCCAGTGAAAACAATTTTATGTGACAGCATAGTAATGACTTTAAAAGCAGCAATGCAGTTTACATACTTAAAATGTTTCAGCATCTTGCTGGTTTAGGTCCATAATTTCCACTATTAATTGTATGATGACATGAGTGAAGGTCAAGCAGATAATGGTATAAATACAGCCTCTGATATTAAATTTTGTAGGGTTGGACTTCGAAAAAAAAAAAAAGTTGCTGTCATCCTAAGTTTTTTTTTATATAGTGCAATATTTACCACCCTCAGGAAAGCCAAAGCTTTCCTGAGGTCATTTTTATATTTTTAGGTCATTTTTATATTTTTAAGAATTATTTGCTGATTTCGTTTTACAGATTTCAAGCGAGGACTTCAGGTGCTTTTTTAAAATTTTGCTCATATTAACTTCCCTTGTTATAATTTGATTTCCTCTGAAACAATTTCAAACCTGAATAATTCCATTTTACTCACCTATGAATCATCAAGCATTACATTTTGACTAAAGTAAAGCGTTAGAAAATGCCACCAACCTTAAATTATAGCTGATCCTTTCTTATAAAAATTGCTTTTGATGCAATACCATCTTTCTCCAAGAGAAGACTACGTTTGTCCAAAATAAATCTGTATTCGGGTGTTACATATGTACAAGGCAGAAACGGCTTATTATTACATGTAGCATCGCTATGGATAGGAACCAGGCTGACAAGTACTGTGCTACTTCGTTCATATAATCTTTGATCTTGCCTCTATCCTAGCATATAGTAGCACCTGAGTGGTTGGTTGTGTTCCATACTTTCCTGTGGTCTAGATCTTTGTTCAACAAGTTCATGACACAGAGGATCAACCCACTATTGTCTTGAGATGGAGGATTTGAAAGCATGCACGGGACAAGTGTGTTACTATGATTTGTGTTGTCTCCACTATTCTCCTCTAGGTGGCAAAGGAAGGTAAAGTCTGTAGACAAGTTACACTGGAAATCACCTAGAAGGGTCTACCTGTGACTTGAGAGGGAGGGTAAGCATCAGATAGCCTGTTATATATAGACTGTACACAGCCTCATGGTGTATGTCATTCCCTCTGCAGTGGTTATTGTTACTATGCTGGATCAGCCCTGCAACTATAAGCTGATCAAATGCCTCCTTTGCCTCAGATGTGGAGACATCATTTGTCTTGAACATCTCTCCCATGAAATGTGTGTGTGACCAGCAGCCACTAGGTATAAAAATCATAAAACAAATGTCCTTAATGAACATTTTTTAGAGGAACTGATTCAGAGAACTAGGTGGTTTTGAAGTTACTGGTTTCAACCTTGCAGGATATCATCCTAAATCTTAATGACAGTGTAGAAACGAAGCAAAAATATTGGCTTTGTTCAAAAATGTTTAGGATTTTCTTGCCAAAACCAAGAGCCCTTTGAAATCAGCAACTCATGACAGCAGGAATGAATTTTTTGCTTTACTGGTAAACAATTTGGTCTACACTTAATGGGAAAAAAAAAATAAATTACAAGATAAAATAATGAAAAGATCATCTACTTCATTTCTATTCAGCAGAACACACTATTGATACTAGAAAATACTGAGTATTTTGTACCAACATAATTCTTTGTTATTTTTTAAATAACATCTAATTTTCATTTAGAAGTCGTTTTCAAGCTTATTCATGTAAAATATTTTGCTGTTCTTTGCCTGGGTTTAAGTTAGTTACCTTATGGTTCTGGTGTACTGAGACAAACCTTAATTCCATTTGGCACTTTAACTAAAATTTAGGCACTGTAAAGGAATAGCTTCTACAGAGCAATAATTTTGAAGCTGGTAGCTGCTACAGCCTTTCTTCTTCCTTTACAAAGGTCAAATGCCTCTATAACGTAGCTGAAGTGAAATGGTTTTAAGGAATTTTTCAGGTGCTTGTGAAGTTATTGAGCAGGCAAAAACGTCTGGTTAGAAGGAGAAATGACTTAGAAGAAGAATGTTCCTGGCAACCTGGGAGCCTGGGGACCAGAATCCTTGCAACATGCAAATGGTCTTTCTGAAGCACAGCTGAGCACTGAGAAGTGGGACATCTGGGACTGCATCGATGACAGAAGAAACTATGAAAGTTTAACCTATATTTTTAGTCAGAAAAAGTCTGAGAAATTTAAATTGATCTGAATAAACAGAGCAAGTCTCTGAGCAACCTGATCTAATTGAAGATGTCCCTGCTCACTACAGAAGGGTTGGACTAGACGACCTTTACAGGGCCTTTCCTACTCAAACCTTTCTATGATTCCATAATAAAAAGGGTAGCTTGCAGGTATCCTTGTTTCTGTAGATTTGCATGGGACAGCTTGAATAGGTTAATTTTTTTTTAATCGTGTCTCACCATAACCTCTAAAATTTCTGTGAAAACACTTATGGAAAGAGCACCAAAACCTGTGAATCACCGAAATGCATGAAAGCTGAGGAGTGATGAGGGTTGATAGTGCAGAAATAGTTTTCCTTGACATCCCTTCAAACTAGAAGTTTTAAAGAAAATCCTAATGACTGTGGGAGCTGAGATACTACAGCACTTCTCTCCCTAATCTGATTCACTAAGGCATATACTTAGCTCTCTATTAAATCATGCATTTTGAATGTAAAATCATAAAAAAGAGATTCTGGTTAGTCATATAAAGTTTTAATAGCACACCTTTAATTCTTAATGGGAGTAGCAAATTTCAGGTATCTATGCTACTCTGAGACATCTATTCTACTCACAGGCTTAATGATACTTCTCTTTTGTGTGAGTTAGCTTTAGCCCCAGAAGTGCAGAGTTCAGTGGGCAAATACAGAGTTTCTCATGAAGGTTTATTTTCACTAGGTCTTTCTGTCCCACTTTTAATGTATTTTCGTTGTAGTTCCAAATTCTCTTCCATGCTTGTTTCTGAGTGGTTTGAGCATCTGACTGTCTTGTCACAGAACCAAAGGATTGTTAGAGCTGGAACGGACCACTGGGGATCATGTAGTTCAATCCCCTGCCAAGGCAGGGCCACCTACAGCACGTTACATAGGAACATGTCTGTGGTGGGTTTGGAATGTCTCCAGAGAGGGAGATTCCACAACCCCCCTGGGAAGCCTGTTCCAGTGCGGTGCCAACATCAACATAAAGAAGTACTTCCTCATGTGGATGTGAAACTTCTTGTGTTTTAATCTGTGGCTATTGCACCTCGTTGTGGGATCTGTCCATCCATATGGCTGCACTTAGTGGGGCAGTTGTTAGGAGCTGTAATTTGGTGTCTTTGTGAAAAAGCAAATATGAACAGTGATGCTCATACTGCAGAATCTGAAGCACTGTGTGTGATGGCTGGTTTCATCAGTCATCCAGTTCGGCAGGTGACTGACAATGTTTTCTCTCTCTCCTGCAGTATGGGATAAAGAAGAAGGAAGAAAAGGAAGCAGAGGCCCAAGCTGCACTGGAAGCTAATGCTGAAGGGAGTCTGACACGCCCAAAGAAGGCTATCCCTCCTGGCTGCGGGGATGAGGAGGAGGAGGAAGAAGAAAGCATTCTAGACACAGTCATCAAATACCTACCAGGGCCCCTGCAAGACATGTTCAAGAAGTAATAGATGCAGACTGTTAGATGGGCATAAACAGTACTGCAAAGAAGTTTTCTTTTGCCCGATGGGGATCTACAATCTTGCCATCCATCATGCAGCCCCCCCTCTCCCTTTACTTCCCATTCCCTTCTGACTGCCTCTTGCCCTTTGCTCATCTATTTCTTTTTTGTATATAGTCACATCCAGTAGATGCCTCTGAATGGATGTAAAAATTAAAAAGCTGCAGACTACACAACTTTTATTATAAGCCATAGTACTATGTATGTTAAGGCAACTGTACATTAAGCATATAAAAGGAACAACCTTATGTGCATTTCCATCCAAAGCAGGAAGGAGTGTTCACTAAGTGTGAACAGTGGCTTCTTTAATTTTCTTTCTCTTTTTATTATTATTGATAATAATTACTAGCCATTATTTCTTGTTGATTGGCTCACAGTAGCCATTTGATATTGAGCACACCTGCCCTTGAAGGGATATCACAGTTCTCCAAGGGGCAGAGCTTTCCTGTTTTAATTCCATCACTAGCATAAATAAGAGATCATTTGAAAGGTAAATCAGGCATGACTTACACAGCTGACATCACTCAGAACTGCAGAAGAAGTGAGTCATCTGCCCTCAGATGCTAGTATGTTAGATGCCTCAGAATCTAAGCAAGAGTCATGCTAATTTGGGAATTAGCCATACACTTAACTTGAAAAGGCAGATTTGGTCAGACAGCTGCCATACAGAAAGCTGAAACCACAAGCAAGTTCGCGGTGCTCTAGTAGAGGACCTCCCCAGCCCCTTTGAAGCTGGTGACCAAGTACGTAGGTCACTCTGATTAACTAACCCTACTTCTGCCCAGTGCCATACTCAACTGTCCCATTCCCAGCAGTGCTTGCAGGATGGACATTTGAATTTCAGTGTATTGTTGTGTCTGTGTCCTGTCCACCCTTTCCTGCAGTGTGTGGGAGAGTGTGGTGGCCTGAATGTTAGCCATACATGGCCCTAGAGATCCAGAAATCCTGGGTATGACTGCTATGAGTCATGCTAAATTACTGCGTTGCCTTGGGGAGGTCACTTATTTTCCTGTCCCACACAGCTGCTCCAGCTGTGTAATGTAGGTTTCAGTCTCTGCCTACTGTAAAGGTATAAAGTGAGGATGCTTCTCCAGTGCTGTGCAGAAGCTAATTAATATTGTCACAGTGTGTGGCATCCCTTGATTCCAGTAGGGTGGGAGGAGATCTCTCACCATTATCTTTGCTGCCTTTCCCAGACACAGATACAGAGGGCTCCTTGATACAGGTCTGTACATATTGAGTAACTGTGTAAGATAAGCCAAATTCTACTCCAGATATTGGTTTGCTGGTATATACACAGACTTACATACACAATCTGATTTTGAACACAGACCCTCATGGTTAGGTATCTAGCTTGTCATTTGAAGAGCTCATCTTGGAGTTCTTGTGTTTGTCTAGGTCTCTGTAGTTGCTGCTGTGAGAGCACCATGCCATTTTAGTCTTACAGTCCTGTAGGAGAATCATGGTTTAGTCTGGTAGAACCACCATTGTTCACCCCTGTCATAGGAACAGAAAAGTTTCCTAAGTATATGGAAGACATTTGGCAGCAAAAAGGAAAGCAATCTCAGATACTTCATTATGTACCTAAATTAATCATTTTACTCCAATGGAATTTCCTTGATGCACTTGTTCAGTTGAAGCAATTTTAGGCAAACATCTCAATACTTCCCTGAACAAGAAATTTTTAAAGATATTTATCATCTTGTCAGGTAAGCAGAACAAATCTGCACCATGGTTAAGGCAGTGAGCTTGTGAACTCTGTATCTTTTAGCAGTATCTCTCATAAAAGGGAAAAAGTAATGAAACAGAAGAAATGTATTTATTTTGCCCTCCTTACCCAATTCTTATCCAGGCCCTTGCTTCTTCACAAATTACTTCAACTGTAAGTTTCTACCAAATCCAAGGTAAAGGTTGAGGAAGTCTGACTGATCTACAAATCAGAACCAGCTGATGATGTTTATTTCAGGCTGTGTCTGCAAACAAGGTGTGTTCATTCAAGTACCAGCTGCCAAGGGCTTCCCAGAGGAAAAAGAAGACAGGTTTTACTCTTTCAGATAATGTCAGTGGGGTTTTTTTCCTAACTTTCATTTAAAGAAGGTGAATGTCTCACTCCCTTCAATACTTTAATAGCCCAGAGCACTCTTTATCTCTGAATCCATGCTTGGGTGTAGCCTAACTGTGTTGTGCAATTTACTATTTCTAGGGAGAGTGTCCTACTCACCCCATGAAAATTCAGCAACTAGTAATTTAAACCTATTTAAGTCAACCTGACAGAATTGAAAATTCACCATTTGTCACAAAGGCAGCAGCTGGTTTTGGTGCTCTGCCACAGAGGGAACAAAATCCAACACCCCTGAAAGCCAAAAGGCAGAGGATTTCTCTTTGCTCTGGCCACTCATTGGCAGTGAAATCTAGATCACACTGAGATACAGACATCAATCTTTTATAAATGCTCTGTCTAATCTCTGTGTCTTGCATCCTTTGCATAAGTAGAACTAGCAGAAATGTGTCCATGCTAAAAAGAACACATCTATTCATATCTTCCTTTAGCCTGGTGCTGGAGAACTCTGCAAATAAACCAACTAGGAGGATGAGCTCATTCCGCTTTGCTTTGGCCTTTCTCTACCAGTTGTTTGTTGATCTTTCCTTAGCCCCTATCATGGACTCACTTTCCCATTCAACCAAATACTCTTCTTGACATAGAATCAGAATTTTCTGCCTGTTGTGCTCCTTGCTGAATGGTTCTTCCAGCTGCTTGTGTATCTTCACAATCTCTGGCAGCTGGATGTGCATGTGTGTGCACGTATGTGTGGAACAGGAGGAAAAGGGAGAAGAAAGGGGGAAAAGAGGGAAAGGAAGAGTGTTTGGTATTATGTTTTCTAACTGTCTCAGCAGCTCTGCCATTGAATGACTGGTCTAAGTGTTTGTAAGCAGGTAATGCTGTCCCTGGGCAGGTAGCATTAGAAATACTCCTTTAGTGAACTCAACTCCTGACCTGTATAAACATCCGGGTCCAAACTCTGAAAAGGGCCATAAGAACTCTGTACTGAGTTTGTTAGGCCTCATGCTGGGGTCCGAGAACAACAGAGAAAGGGAAGGTGGTTTACTAAATGTCTGATGAGTCTTTTCTATTGTGGGAGCTTCCCAATACAGTCGTGTCAACCCTTCTGTACCTCAGCTGTCCACACCAGCGCTTCCTCCAACAGAGATCTCAGCCAGCCCTGAGTTGGTAGTTCCTGTTTTAATTGTCCTTTTTTTTCAACAAAGAAACATGAGAGGAGATCTACTGCAGGTACTGGGCAGGTTTTGCTTGGGTTTGCCTCACAAAACTTTTGGCACCTTGTATGAGTTGTGGACCTCTCCTCAAGTCACTCCACTGTCCCTGAAGTGCCTCAGCCATGCTGAACAGATTGGAGACCAGGCACTCTCCCTTCCCTTCTGCCCATTCATTTCCCTTCCCACTCTGAACTGGCAACATGGGACACAGACACCTTTGGCTCATGTATTAATGTGAGAAGCATTGTCTCAGACCCCTTCCCCCTCAGCACTCAAGCAGGTATTGAAGTACTTAAATGAGACCAAAGACAAGCATGGTTCATTGTTTGGATTCTGAATATCTCTTTGTATTTCCATGCCATTGCTTTATTTGCATCATTGGTCTGTTCAATCTCAGGTAAAATAGGTCTTTCATTTTTTTAACTAGTTTTTATTTACACAGAAAGGTTGGTGGCTAGACACTGCAGCCATTTCCTTCACAGTTCCAAGACCTTACTTGTTAGAGGGAAAACAATTCAAAGGGCCTCCACATTTGGAGGGTTTAGTTTACCCTTGACCTTGTGAACTTCCATTTATATTTAAAGAAAGCCATACAAAATCAGACTGCAATATTAATTATCAATGTTAATCTTGTGTTTAAAAAAAACCCCAACAAAATATAAGATCAAGTGCTAAATCACTTTGGAGTTCCTCTATGTTTCTAGTACTATATGTTGGCTTAGGTTCCTCTCAGACCCTGTCCTCTGTCAAGAAAGACCATACCAATGCTGCTGAATACATCTTTTGGCAAGCTTACTGTGCTATAACAAGACTTGTTAGAAGTTAGGTGTTGTGAACTCAGCGTAATGTCTCATGTATCTGAAAGTTGTCTGTAACTATTCCAAATATATGTTGTCAAGATAACTGTTTCTTCATGCACTGAGTTAGTAAAAGATTTCATTACTGTCATTAAAAAATTGCTTGTTTTCTCACACACACACAGAGCAAAATTTAACTTAGCCAAGCTTCCTTTCAGATGCATGCAGTATTCTCCAAGCAACTAGAAGATGATTTAGAGACCTTGTGAATGTGAACTTCATTTGTTACTTGCCTGCTACATTTTCCTGCATGATGTGGGTAAATGGTATGATGTTCTTTTAAAATGGAATCACAGCCAATAAAAATACTGGTGATTTCATACATTTTTTTTGCAATGCGTTCCTGTGAAATTCTGCCACGCTACACTTGAAAATCAAAGTATGGATGCTGATAGACAAATAGAATGGTAAAAGAATCAAGGAGAAACATGGATATTATTTGATGAGGCTTGACATCTATAGGTGATTATTAAATTTTCAGTAAGCTGTGCTGTTAGGAATTAGTGTTCCTTAGTAAGAGCACAACAACATTCCTTTGAAAGAAACACAGGCCTCTAATGATGGTTTAGTGAGAATATGTCTGGATCGTAAAACAAAAAGTGTAAAAAGTTGATCTGCAATGATATCAAATATATCTTTGGATCCAGATTTTGTGATGCATACAAAACTCTTGGTGGCAAGCTGTGCACAGTTGAGCCTTGTTTTATTTATTCAGGGTCAAATCAGTAGTTGTTATGTCCAGCAACATGTTAGAAAAAGAAAGAGAAATAACCATAGAACTCGTAGGAAATGTTGATAGTGTTTTCCCTGTGAAAGTTTTTTTTTACGACCATTGTGTGGTGATGTGTTGGCTTTTTTACTAACAGAAGCAGATAAAGGACTGTCACGGAGAAATCAGCAAGCACTCATGAATAGT